GTTTGGGAAGAAAGTATAATATATTTGCCTCCAGCAATAAAGATGGTCTTTCTCTCAGCGACAATGTCCAATGCTAAAGAGTTTGCGGACTGGATTTGTCATTTGCACAAACAACCATGTCATGTGGTGTACACGGATTTCCGGCCTACTCCCTTGCAGCATTATGTTTTTCCCATGGGTGGGAGTGGGTTATATCTTGTAGTTGATGAGAATGAGCAGTTTAGGGAGGACAATTTCATGAAGCTCCAGGACACTTTCTCGAAGCAGAAACTGAGTGATGGAAGCAAGAGTGTGAAAGGGAAAGCAAGTGGAAAAAGTGCCAAAGGTTGGATTCCTTCTTCAGGAGTTTCTGACATATATAGAATTGTGAAGGTGTGGCCTCTAGTTTTAATTATTGCTTTTGATTGCTATTCTGTATTTGCATGGTAAATTCAAGACTTATGATGACAAAAACTGTCTCATGTTTCCAACTTGTGATTTTTCTGATTGATATGCAACTTCTTGTGGTCTTATTCTTGAATATTCCAGTTTTATCACTACTGCAATATGTCTTTTATGAAGCAAAAAGTTTTTCCCAAAAAGGGAAAAGAAAAACCTTTCAAAATTAACAATGTTGCTAATTTTCTTGTTTGGATGTGAATTTTGCTAAGGTCTTTCTGCTCTTCATACATGTAACATTGAATAGAAGGATCTGTCATGCTGGTCATTTCTTGTAGGTCATCACTTATTAAATTAGTTTTAAAATTTTCCAATTTTAGATGATTATGGAGCGTAAATTTCAACCCGTCATAGTTTTTAGCTTCAGTAGAAGAGAGGTTGAACAACATGCGATGTCAATGTCCAAGCTTGACTTCAATACAGAAGAGGAGAAGGATCATGTGGAGAATGTTTTTCATAATGCAATCCTCTGTTTGAATGAAGAAGATAGAAATCTACCTGCTATTGAGTTAATGTTGCCACTACTTAAGAGAGGCATTGCCGTACATCATTCTGGCCTTCTTCCCGTAATCAAGGAATTGGTGGAGCTTCTTTTCCAGGAAGGCCTTGTAAAAGCTCTCTTTGCAACAGAAACTGTAAGATTTTGTCTAGATTTCAAACCTCTGTGATTATTACCTTTTTGTTGCTATTCTTTTCATTTCTACCTGAAACATTAATGTTGAGATATCTTTCCATAATAACTTCTATTTCTGTCAGTTTGCCATGGGTTTAAACATGCCTGCAAAAACTGTTGTGTTTACTGCTTTTAAAAAGTGGGATGGTGATAGCCACCGCTACATAGGTCCGGGTGAGTATATCCAGGTGAGTGAAATTTTGTTGCCTTTGTTTCAAAGTAATTGACATGTAAGTCACTTTTTATCCTTTTTCAATTGTTTACTCTTTATCTGAACCCCGCAGATGAGTGGGAGGGCTGGGCGTCGCGGTAAAGATGAGCGAGGAATTTGTATAATAATGGTTGATGAGCAGGTGATGGTCCATTATTCTTATGGCATTGGCAGTTATTTATGTCAATTGAACCTTTAGTATTTTATGTTGCCCCTTTCTTTCTTAAAGTGACATTATAAAAGGACATTGATGTATTGGAACATTAGGCTAGCAGCATTTTCATTCTGTGATTATACTGTATTACCGTATGAAGAAGCAGAAGAAGCTGTTGCCATTCTTTCATTTTGCAGATGGAGATGAACTTGCTCAAGGACATGATTTTGGGTAAACCAGCTCCTTTAGTCAGCACTTTCAGACTAAGCTATTATTCAATTTTGAATTTAATGAGCCGTGCTGAAGGCCAGATCACAGCAGAGCATGTAATAAGGAATTCATTCCACCAATTTCAGTATGAGAAGGTTTCTTCTGGACCTTTTTCTCTTTTGTAAAAGCTTTTGGTTCGTGTAACAACTTTAGCTATGTTCTTCCATTCAGGCTTTACCTGGAATAGGGGAAAAGGTTTCAAAACTGGAGCAGGAAGCTGCCTCCCTTCATGCTTCAGGAGAGGTAATGTCTATTGCTTGGCCCTTGACATCTGTTTGTAAGAAGGAAGTTATGAGTCAGATTCATGCCGAAGTGAATTTGTCAATTGCTGCTGCTGATTGTTATTAGTGTTGCTATTTTACTAATTGCTTGACAGTTTATTCTTGGTCCTTGTTGTTATCATTATTTGGATAAAGGAATTTAAGCCAGATTCACTCTTCTGAATTGCTGCCACATGGACATCCAATTGGTCTTATGTTGTCTTTAATCCCAAATCTCAACCATTAGAACTCAGTGGATCAATAGTACTTCAGTCAATTCTTTTGCCTTTATTTGTCTCAAATTAACCCTAACCTTTTTACATCATTATAATTGTGTGCTTTTGGTAGAAAAATCAAGTGGTGTCCATGTGGCTCTTACCTTTCTTATCGGAATTAATAATGTATTTTTAAAGCTGGGCCTACGCAAGTTTCAAAATAATGGTGTACTTTAATGAAAGATCCTATTGCAAGAAAATGATAAGGTTAAGTATAATTGAATTGAAATAAGTAAGAAAGTGTTTAAGTTTTATTGATGGATTTTAGATTCCATCATCTTAGAAGTAGCTATTGCTTCATGCAGTGTGTCCTTTTTTTTAATATGATTTTTTATGCTAACTATTTATTTATTATTTTATTATTGCAGGCTGAAGTTGCCGAATATCACAAGCTAAAACTTGATATAGCCGAACTAGAAAAGAAGTTGATGCCAGAAATCTTAAGGCCTGAAAGAGTTCTTTATTATCTTGATCCTGGACGGCTGGTATTTTACTATGGTGCTAATTGCAGTTTAAGTTCTTTTCAAAACCTAATAATTAAATATACTATGTCAAGTAGGTGCTGGTATATGTATCATAGAAAATGGCTAATTAATTTGAAACAGCAAGCATACCAAGTGATCCAAAGTACTAGCATGGTCTTGGCCATATCCTAGTGAATCCTATATATTTATAATTCAGGAGTTGGGTGTTTAAGGTTTAAACATTTCTTTTTAAGGTTTCTCAAAGGGAAGAAAACCTCCATTGCCTCTCATCAACAGCATCATCATTGTTTGAACTTTGGTGTACTTTGCCACAATTTTTGCTTTGTTTGTGGCCCAGAAGTAATTTTAAACCTTTTATAAATTGGCAAATTTTTTTTTTTTTTTGGGGGGAAATTACTTTATCTATGTAGATAAGTAGTCATGCACTTTCTTTTTCCTTTCATATTGAATTGTTGGATTTTGTTTTTTATTTAAAGGTGTGAACTTATATGTAATTTGAAGAATAACTTTATCTCTGTTTTCAATCTAGAAGTTATTTTAGGTTGTCAGTGATGGTAGTCTTTTTGTGGCCGAAATATTATTTATTAAATAAATATCCTGCCAGTTGTTGTTTCTTGTCACATGGATGTGTCAATATTTTGTAATGAATGGATTTACATGTACTTGGAAATTTTGGTGGTAGTTATTAAAAACTTGTAATTGTGCAGATGGTGTGATGACAACTTGGACTCTATATCTCACTCTAAAGTGTTAATTGCAGATCAAGGTGAGGGAAGGTGGAACAGATTGGGGTTGGGGAGTTGTAGTTAATGTTGTGAAAAGGCCTTCTGCAGGGTTAGGTGCCTTGCCCTTACATAGCAGTGGCTATATTGTTGATACTTTACTCCATTGTTCTTCTGGTTCAAGTGAAAATGGTCCCCAATCAAAACCATTCCCACCTCATCCTGGGGAGAAGGGTGAAATGCATGTGGTGAGTTGATAGTCTATTAACTAAAGGTGGAAGTTGTAGTGTGGTTCATGAAGATTCTGATCTCTTTTTATCTCTTTTAGGTTCCGGTTCAGTTGCCCCTAATTTCTGCTATAAGTAAAATCAGGATATCTATTCCTCCTGATCTTCGGCCCTTGGAGGCAAGGCAAAATATACTACTTGCAGTGAAGGGGCTAGAAACTCGGTTCCCTCAAGGCCCTCTGAAGCTTAATCCTGTAATGGTAAACCTTTAGCAAAAGAGATTAGCTCTGTCTTGCCATTGACCATTTCGTTCTGACATCTTTTTCTAACATTTGAGGTCTTATTGTGCTAACTTCAAATGGTAATTTGTGATGAAAGATCCATCCTTGATTTGAAAATTGATTCTTTCTAAACTTGTATATCAAGCCAAGTTTCTCTTGAGGCAGCCTTCATTAATTTTTCCATTTATAGATTTTTGAGATAGGATCCACTTACACTTGGTGTAAGATTACAAAGACTTACTCCTTTTATTAGTCATTGGTTTCATAAATCCAATGGCTGAGATGATGGTGATATATTTAGTAATTTTAATATATTATCAACTTAGGAAATATATTGCCATCATCTCAGCTGTTGGTTTGTGTAAAATCAACCATAATAAATGGTGTAAGTCGAAAATAAATTGCACAAGCACTGGGGCATATTCACATAACTTATTTTTGACTGCCTTCCTGCACCCTTCCCATTTTCTTGAAAGTAATAAAGCTCACGAGAGGGGCAACTAGACCAACTTATATTTTATTGTTTAAACTTGAATATCAATGACATAGTTTGATATTTGGCACATACCACTGCAAGACCTTCAACCATCACTTGTTTCAAAATTCTTAACTATTTGTTTTTTTAATCATGATCATTGTGTTTATTGATGATTATGAAGAAAATTAAACCAAGACTAGCCTCAGCTTTTTTGGGGTTAATTATGTGGGAATCTTGGATAGAATTAGCTAATTGAACTTGCTTCCTTTGTCAATTTATTTGATTTGCAGGACATGAAAATTGAAGATCCAGAAATTGTTGAGTTGGTGAAACAAATTGAAGAGCTTGAAAAGAAGTTAATCTCTCATCCATGCCACAAGGTCTTTCATCTTATTCAAGTTTAAGTTCTCTGTTCCATTGATCATTCTGAGAAATAATTGCTAGGTTACTCTATTTGCTGTACAGAAATCTCAAGATGAGCATCAGATTGCATGTTTTAAGAGGAAAGCAGAGGTTAATCATGAAATTCAACGGCTGAAGTCAAAAATGCATGATTCTGAGGTACTTATCATTGTTGGATTTGCAAATTTAAGTGGCTACATGAGTCTGAAACAGGGGTTGATTTTCTTGTATTTGACAAGTCAGCACTATTTTGCTGTATTATATGTGAATCAAATATTTTTTTGGCCAATATAAAATGCTTACAACATACAAGAAAAAGATTTCTAGAGAATTAAAACCATGAATTTTGATTTTCATGTTTCTTATTTGGTTCATGGTCAAGATTCCCAGGGGAGTAACTTTGCCATGCATCAAATTTGTAGTTTACCTGTAATATAACAAGGGACTTGCAGGCAAGTGCTTGGGTTATGTTCTCTTCAAAGATATAGAGGGTGATTTTTTTAATCAGTTATTATTTTTATACTTCTATTAGTATAAATTCTGATCACCTGTTTTACTAATTAAGATTCTCATATTTCTCGCAGCTTAAAAAATTCCGTGATGAACTTAAGAACCGTTCAAGGGTCTTGAAGAAGCTTGGTCATATAGATGCCAATGGTGTTGTGCAATTGAAGGGGCGGGCAGCCTGCTTGATAGACACTGGAGATGAACTGCTTGTCACTGAGCTGATGTTCAATGGTAATTTTCAAATACTGTTGCCTAATCCTTATGTAGTATTGTCTGAAGTCTTATTTTAATTAAAAAAGCTGGTTCATATGGCCCAGCCAAGGTCTCTAGCACTTTTCAACAACATAGAATTAGAATCAGGCATTATGGAGCTAACTAGATCATGGCAAAAACCTATTTTTAGCCCCTCACCTTACCAAATTTGAAGGTTTTAGCCCTTTACCTTATACCATGGCACTTTTAGCCCCTCACCTTACTAGATTTGTAAGTTTTAGCCTTTCACCTATTAAAACCAAAGAAAATAGCCCTCACTTTATCTTGACTGTTAACTCTGTTAGCTGAAAATAGATTTTTATCAACTAACAGTTAACTAATAGTCAATTAACAGAATTAATGAAATATTACAAAATCAGTTCTATTAACTCTATTAGCTGAGAGAAAATTTTTAATAGCTAACAGTCAACTAATAATCAGCTAATAGAGTTAACAATCAGCTAGCAGAACTAACAAAATGTTACAAAGTGAAGGCTATTTTCTTCAATTTTAATAGGCGAGAGGCTAAAAGTGTCATAGTATAAAGTGAGGGGCTAAAACCTACAAATCTACTAAGGTGAAGGGCTAAAAATGTCATAGTATAAGATAAAGGGCTAAAACCTTTAAACTTAGTAAAGTGAGGGGCTAAAAGTAGGCTTTTGCCACTAGATCACAATTTTTAGTTCATAGAAAGTTGCCAACAATTATTTGGAGTCCACACTTTTTCTTCTGTTTTGATTTTTTTCCTTCTGAAATTATGAGTCTGTTCTTAGAAAATGAATTATTTAATTTATTCTATTGCCCTCAAAGATATTCTAAAAAGAACTAAAAAGTAAATTATTTTATTCTGCATGTAACTGAAAATATACATGGAAATCTGCCACTCATATAAATGGTTGATGTAAAGATTATCAAATGCAGGAAATTGTTGCAAAATTTTCATTCAGTTGCCTTTATTCATATATTTGTCTTTGAGAAAACTATCCTTGAAAAATAAAAGTGAAATCAAAGCCAACAATATGGAAATGACACAGAATGCATCTTTTCTGTTAGATTACCATTGAATTGAAAAACATCAAGCAAAGAAAAGTTACTTCGGCTAAAAACAAAAAAATGCATTTGAAAAGTTACACAAAGGAAAAGTTTTTCAGGGTAAAGGACAAGAGTTTTGTTGAAGGTCATTATTGAAATACTTAGAGAATGAAAATTGATTATTTAATAATATAAAAGATATTAATCTATGCATATTAGGGAGAAAAACGTTGATGCGAATTATGAAATAAAAATATTTCCTAATTGGATAATCAAAGATTTGAAATGAACTTGTAGGATGTTCATTTTGAATGGTTCTGTAGCTGTAATTTATATGATTCTTGTGGGGGTGTGACCTGTGTCACATTATATGCAAATTTAATCTTAACCTTTTGAAGCCAGTAAGGCATGTCCTTCTGGTTACATTTGTGGTTGCTTGGGCTTCCGTCATTCCTAATCCCTGTCATTGTGTCACCTATTTTTTCTCTGAGCCATCTGCTTGAATTTTTATAGTTATTATTTTTCATTTTCAGGTAGGTTCAATGATCTTGACCATCACCAGGTAGCAGCCCTTGCAAGTTGTTTCATTCCAGTAGATAATTCAAATGAACAAATACAGTTGAGGGCAGAGCTTGCTAAACCATTGCAGCAACTTCAAGAAACTGCAAGAAAAATAGCAGAGGTGTTTGTCTGTTAAGTTTTTGTACATAAATGTGTTTCATTAATGGAAGAGTAATTAAAAATGTGCTTTCATGATTGCAGATACAACGTGAATGCAAATTGGAATTAAATGTTGATGAGTATGTGGAATCAGCAGTGAGGCCATACTTGATGGATGTGATTTACTGTTGGTCAAAGGTTAGTGTTCTATATTATTAATAAGGCTTGCAGGCATGATCTATTGGAATTGTTTAAACCCAAATAGGGATGGAGGGATTCAAACTTGCATTTCCAGCATGGTTCACATCACTCTCTACTAATGAGCCAACCCCAACTAGTTACCAGCAAACCCTAAGTAACTTGGAAATTTCAAACTATTTTCTACTTAGGCACTAGCTCTTAATTTCAAAATTTTCTATGCTCCAATGCACACACACACACGCCCTCCCCAATGCATGTGTACATCTGGACGCCTGTTTTGTCATTGTTGATGTCTAATTATTACTTGATGAGGTTTTTGTTTTCCTGGATACCTAGTTTCTTTTGTCTAAGATGGTTTAGCTGGTAATATCAACTTGTCTTTATCTTGATCTTGTACTTCTCTTTCTTTTTTCATGTTTGCTAATTTAGTACTCTTTAAAATTGTTCCTTAGGGGGCAACTTTTGCAGATGTAATACAGATGACTGATATTTTTGAGGGTAGCATCATTAGAAGTGCTAGAAGGCTTGATGAGTTTTTGAACCAGGTAAATTGTCAGAAGGTTCAAAATTTACTTCCAATTATTATCATTGATCCGTTCTTTCTTTTTGTCTTTTCCCCTTTTTTCTGCTTTCTTTCAAGTTTCTTTGGAAACAGCAATACTTTTGCAGATTTAGTTTCAAACTTCCCTCCAGATCCCCCACCATCAGGAAAGAAAATCTTTTAGTTCTTGACTGGACAGCTCAAGAAATCTATCCATACTGATTAATGGGTAGTACATGTAACATGTTCTAGTTAAATGCTTATATACATCTTTTACTTTTGTGAGTACAGAGGAGGGGGGAGGGGTTGACGATGGATGATGGATAAATTTATTTCCTTTATATCCTTATATAGAATGTTCAAAAGTAATTATGGCATGGCAAATGGCCAATATAAATTTGGCTTTCTGCAGTTTCTTTAAGTTGTTCAATTTTCATGTGGAATGCCTTCTGAACTCTGTTTCTGATTCTTAAAGCTTTCTGCTGCTGCTCAAGCTGTTGGAGAGGCTGATTTGGGAAGCAAGTTTGCAGCAGCCAGTGAAAGCCTTCGCCGAGGTATAATATTTGCAAATTCTCTCTATTTGTGAATAGTTATTTTCTGGCCTGTGTTTGTATATGTAAATTCCAGTATTTAACAATTTTTGACATGGTAACTGTAACATAAACTGCCATCATAGTTTCTTTGTTTCCTTCATAGTAGGACTTAAGTTCATGTAGAAAAAAGAAAGAATAATGATAAAGCTGCAGCATTTGGTTCCTTCCAATATCATTTCTGGTGATAATTTTTGCTGTATTCGATTTCTGACATGTCTCTAATGCTTGGCAAACTCATGAAAATACTTGTCCATGAAAATATTATTACACGGTTTACACCTTACCAGAAGAAGAAAAATTCAAAGTGTTTAGCTGAAGCCAATCTTGGGAGTGTCTCATAAGCTTGTAATATTTCCATGTTTAGTTTAAGTAGACAGATGATGTGTTTTCTTTGATAGTTCCTGTTCATATACAAATTTCATGCTGAAAGAAAAGAACTATAAAACTGTAAACTCTTATATGCATAGGCCAGATTACAACCTTGGTCAGGCAAATTCTGACCAGCTTGAAATGACGCAGTAGCCACCCCTACCCTCGTCTACCAATGGTTTAATAAAAGAATAATGATAAAGGGACGAATTGTATAGGATCAAAATTTGAGATCATGACATGAGTTACGTTTTTAATGTAATGAAAATATTTAAAGATAAATTTTACATTATTTGATAATTAATTTTTTAATTTTTATGATAAAAATTATTTTTATTTTATTGAAAATTTGAGATATATGATATTGTATACTTTAAATTATTTTATAACATAATTTATATTATATTATTAGTTTTAAATTTTTGTCCTCTATGGTAATACTCTTAACAAAAATACCCTACTCAAGTTACTGACGAGTCAAACCATATGAGGCTACATGGCAACACCAAATGAGAAATTTTGAAGTAAAAATAAAAAAATAAAAAATAAAAAACATATGAGTTCAACTAAAACAAATCAAAAGCCTTTTCCATTTTTGTCCCATTTGGTACAGCGGCTATTGACAAGGCTCACTTGGGGCAGTTGGGCTTAGGCAGCTAAACGCCTGGACCAAACCCCAAACAGGCGTGGGTTCACTAAATGGTTAAAAGTTTTTTACTTTATTATATTTAAAAATTTTAGTTGTTTATTTTATATTATAAAATTTTTAACCTTTAAATTTAAAAATTTAAACATTTTAACCTTAAATTAACAAAATTTATTACCTCTCCATTAAAATGAAAATAAAATATTTATTAAATCAGTTCTCAAAAATTAAAATATAACAATTTAGTTTTAAAATTTAAAACTTAAAAAAATTAATAAACTAAAAAGAATTAATAGATAACTTTCTTATATATATTAAAATAGTATTAGATAATTATAATTAAATCAAATAATTAATTCAATTTGAAGAAAGACTTTTGATTGAAATTAAAAAAAAA